TTTTTTTCTTTGAAATACATCTGAAAAAACGCGGTCGTCTTATATTCAGGGTCTAGACGTTGACATGTCGATAATACATCCACAACAATAGGTGGCGCCAAATACGCATAAACCGAGTGTGCCATGAAATACGTAATGTAATGCGTGTTGTAAAGATCGCGAGTAAAAACAAAAGAAGCAGAAAACCTTACAGCTGCATGAGTCGTGACTGTCACGTTAGCCTGATGGCACCAAACTCCCTTTGTGATTTTAAGACTACAGTAAGATTTAACTTCTACTGTTAATAAGATTTTGGTAGGCTACTATTAGATGGATAGCCTAATGTCCTAATTCAGATGGGCTACCTGTTTTTTTTTTTTTTATGGTATATCAAAAAGTGTATATTTTTTTAAATGTGATTGTTGGTACATTTGACCAGTTTTTACCATACTTTCAAAACAAAAATTAAAATAGGACAAATATGCAATATGAAAATAATTGAAGACAAAATGTGTTTTACTGAGAAAAAACAAGATTTGGTTTTTAAAAAGCCTTTTTCCAAAAGGTACATCTGGAAAAAGGGGGGTCGTCTTATAATCAGGGTCGTCTTATATTCGGGCCAATACGGTACATGATAAAATAATCAGGTAAGAATACAAAAATACCAGTTTTAAACAAATTTTAAATTAAATTTTAATGTTAACGAATTCACTTTACATTTTCATTACTTTATTATTTGAAGCCATATTTAGTAGGCAGCTGCCTATGTAGGGAGTAAACATCCAGGCAGCGCACCAGGATTTGGAACACAGTAAATATTTACCGCTGAGGTCCAGGAAGATGACTGGGATGTGCGTCTCCATTCCTGGCACAGGAGCCCTGCGGGAACAGGAGCCAGACAGTGAACATACGGTTCATGAGAAGAATTCACTAAACTGAATTAACCAAAGAGCACAAAACAATCAGATTGTTGGATTTTCTTCTTGCATTTGAATTTAACGAGTTGGTTATGGTTAGATAAAGGTAGTCCTATGATTGTTTGAAAGGAAATAACATTGTAGGACCAGTAAGGAATAAAACATGAGCAAGTATACCGTCACATACCACTCCGCCGGGGCTCCTGGGATACCGCTGCCAGCAGAGGGCACCAGCACAGCGTTTCTCTCCTCCGTTAGCGTCAGACGACACTCCAGCAGCTGCGACTCGCTCTCCACATCCTCTTCTGACTTATCTACAAGAGCCACTTTTCTCTCATTTTCACAAAAGATGTTCCTTCGATATATTCCACTCAAACACATTTGATTTCTAGAAACCCATAAGCATGCAGGTCATCTACATCTCGTCTTACCGTGCTTGCCAACAAGTTTCTGAAGACGTTGGTCCAGATATTCCTGTCGTTCAGTTAGAGCAGTGAGCCACCGAGCTCTCAGTCTCTCCAGATCAACCTCCTACAGGTACAAACATGCAGAAGATATTGCTTTATTAATATATATAAAGCACATAGTAAAGCTCAGATCTACACTAATGTACTGTAGGTCTGTTCTGCTCACAAAAGCTGCATTTATTTAATGAAAAACAGTAAAAACAGTAATATTGTGAAATATTATTACAATTTAAAATACCTGTTTTTTGTTTGAATATATTGTAAAATGTAATTTATTCCTGACTTCTGACCAAATTAATGCATTTTTGCTAAATAAAACTATAAATTTCTTTTTAAAAAAAATGAACGATAGTGTATATAAATAGAATCATTCAGAAACATGTTCATCAACATATGATCACCCATATTTACATCTCAATGCCTACTCAATATTCAGCGGCTTGTCCCGCACCGATGAACGACAATGACAACCACAGACATACATAGACATCATTCACCTATTTAAAAAAGCCTGAAAAGTTATTACCTGATAACTGTCCACATCTTTATCTCCCACCTTCAAAAATAAGACAAAAAAAAAAACCTTGAGTCCAGACCTGTGCATCTGCTAATAGAGCTCATCAACAAATACTCATTCACTAATACTCACATACAACGTGTGAGAAACCTTTACACTGGATTCATCAGGAATTCAAGCATGTGCATTTTACCCTCATTCAGATGTTAATCAATATATAATATAATATAGAAGCATGTGCCAGCAGTATGCAATTAGCATAAGACACACCCAGACATATCCATATAAGGGCCTTACTGTCACTTAGTGTCACTACATTTCTATATCAAATTTATACATCAAAATCATTTTAGCTTAATGCATTTCATGTTTTTTGAGGTTACCTGTGATTTTAGTGTACGTCTGGTTTGAGCTGGTTCTAAATTTTCTTAAAATTAGCATAACATTGAATCAACATTTATGTGTGAAATGTTTAAAACGTTTAGTGAATGAGACATGATGATTTTAACTAAAAATTAAAGATGAGTTTTTCACCCTCTGGGTCTCTGTGCTTTTGCCAGTTCGAGTCAGATGGACCTCCACATTGCCGATGGAGACGTTGAGCACAGACTCGGTGATCAGAGGCATGGTGCCGGAGTCCTGGACCGAACGCGCCTCCACCTGAACACGCCTTGACTGACCCTGTCACACACACACACACACACACAGTCAAGTCATGAGCGGCATCGAAGGAAAATCAGATCTTCTACAGAAAAATTTGTCAAGATTTAGTTTTACACCTCGTTACTATCATTAATGTCCACACAGACCTGTTTGAGCTGAAATATTCCTCCTGTGCAGACGTCCTTAGCTAACTGAACCTCCACCGGCACAAACTCTCCAGCATCATTCAGCTCCAGGATCTGAACACAGACACAATAAAACGGAAAAGAAACTTCACTTTTACAAAATGAGTCAAAAACCAAATTACAACTGTTTTTGGTGCATCCTAATTCAAGGATTCCCAAACCCCAGCTTTTTTGGCAACCAAACCGTTTTGAACTAAAATATTTACTTGAAGTTCTCTCTGACATTTTTAAATAATATTTAAATAATTTAACAACACATTCACATCTTCACTGTTCTCTGATGTTGGTAATGATGCACATGACATGCAGGTAATCAAATAATTTATCTTATTTATTAATATTTTACTAAAGTATTTTAGTTTTTATTAAGTTTTTTTTTTAATTAAAATTATTTTACAATGATTTTTACATTTTAATTACACATTAAATGTTGGTGGATAGTCACATTATGCATGTAATCAAATATAATTGTTTTATTCATATTTTACTAAAATATTTTATTAAGTGTTTTATTTTGATTGTTTTAAAATTAAAATATTTTTTAAAATTATTTCTCAAATGTCAAAATGTGAGTTTTATGGTCACATGACTTGCAGGTAAACAAATTAAATATTTTATTTTTATTTATTAAAATTGTACGAAATACTTTATTAAGTTTTATCTGGATTGTTTTAAAATTAAAATATTTTTTTAAATTATTTCTCAAATGTCAAAATGTCAGTTTTATGGTCACATGACATGCAGGTAAACAAATAAAAAAATTTATATTAATATTTCTGAAAAATATTTTAGTAAGTGTTTTATTTTGATTGTTTTAAATTTAAAATGGTTTTAAAATGATTTATTCTTTTTAATTTTACATTATATGTCAGTTGATGGCACATGACATGCAGATAAAACAGTTAAATTATTTTTTAAATAATTATTATTTTAATATTAAGATTAAAATTACTCATTTATATTTTACATTAATGGTTGATGGTCACATGACATGCAGGGTAAACAAATAAAATATATTTATTCATATTTTTCTAAAGTATTTTAGTGTTTTATTTTGAGTATTTTAAAAATAATTTTTTAAAGAAAATGATTTATTAACTTTAATTTTACATTAAATGTTGGTTAATGGTCTAATGACATGCAGGTAAACAAATAAAATATTTTATTTATATTTATTAATATTTTACGCAAATATTTTAATTACTGTTTTAAAATTATTCTGAAATTAATCATTTGAATTTTTTATTATTTAATTACTTAATAGCTTATGATTTAATTATTTACCACAATCATCTGAACATTGACTAAATCTAGCTCTGCTGTCACAGAAACGATCTGTGATAGTTTTTATGTTAAAGGATAGTCTAATAAATGCATGTGTACCTCTCTCTGAGAGAGCGAGTCTTTGCCTGAATCACCCCCAGGTCCCAGAGAGCCAGATTCCTCCGCGGATTTGCCTGTTTGTGACCATAAACTTCAACCGCCACGGCGCCCTCCATCAGAAACTCCAGAAAGTCTTCGGTTACGGCCACTTCTAGAGTCTACAGATGCACATAGAGATGCGTGATGACCGACAACTGGCACAAACGCAATGTTTTACTCCATGTAAGGCAGTGTTTTCACCTTGCAGTTGTCAAACACCACCAGACTCTGCGGCTCTCTGCTGCTGGGGGCCGTCAGACCCACTTCCGGGGCGATAAACACGGGTTCCTGCTGCTCCCAGAAATGATACTGACAGAAAACGAAGTTGGAGAGGTGCTGAGGCAATCCGGTCGCCTGCAACACCTTGATCTGGAAATAAACCCACAGAAAACATTCATGTCCTACACTCAACTACAGCTCAGATCTACAGGAATATCTGACCTGTGCTGGCAAAATGAGTCGGAATGAGGAAATTTTAAAAGAATCAGAAAACGTACAAATAAAGATCTTTTTAGATGTTTAATTACTATTTGGAGCATTGGGATCACTAGAAGAGGGCTTAATGAACTCATTTTTGTGAAAAGTTTTTCACTTCTTTTGCCTGTAGCTCAAAATTAGACCGTGCGCATTCAGACCAAGTGGCAACCTCCCGCTCTCTCTCGTGAAGCCAACAAGGAAGTGACTTAAACTGTAATTCATCAACTGGCCGCTAGAGGCTGGCTGCAAAAGCGAGTCAATCCCATAGACTCCCCATGTTAAAATGCCCAACTTTACAGCAGAAAAAAACATGTTTACAGCCTGGTTAAAAAAATTATTTTGGTCTATATAGCTAATTTTGCCCTTCATGACAACTGTGAGGGGGGTGAATTTTTTTATAACTCATCCGTTTAAATTATATTAAGCCTTAAAGTTCAGCATAATTAAGGGCGTGGCCACTTGAGTGACAGGTGGATTGCCGCTGCTGTCACCACCATCGAGCTAGGTGGGCGTGGTTTCAACAACCAGCTCCCGCCTCTTTGCACATCTTCGATTATCTGGGAGTAACGTGCGCGCGGCCAAGATGGCGACGGCCCGCTCCGCCCACTTTTGAGCTTCAAAAACTCTCTTCGGAACCCTACGGGTGACGTCACGGACACTACGTCCATGTTTTTATACAGTCTATGATTCAGACTCATTTTGGCAGCACTGGTCACATATTGCATGTTTGAATGATGTCCTGTTTTATCTGACCATGCAGGTGAGTTTGCGTTCTTGCGTCTCGCCGTCTGGACTGATCTCAGAGCCTCCCGTCTCACACTCCTCTAGCTCTCCGCTCAGACGCTCCACTTCTACGTGAAGCCGACCCGCCACCTGAAAACACACAAAACCAACGGCAATCAGTCAATGGCTTGCGCTCTTTCTAATGGTTAGAACCAATCTGTTTGCGCGCACACCTCCCCCTTCTGGTTGATGATGGGAACTGCGTACTGCAGCTTGACCTCATATAGCAGACAGGACAGGAAGACGTTGGCCACACCGATCAGACTGTGATTCTCCTGCTCGTCGAAGAACGGATCGGCACGCTTGAAGTAGGAGCGCATGGCCTGAGCACAGGCAACGAGGATGAGGTGAACACATGTAAGCATACTTCATTTATGATGCTCATCAAAACCGCATTTTTGGAGAAACAAACATTGACTGTTCAGTATTGTTTCCTTTAAGCCACATCATGCTAGTTCAGGGATTCCCAAATTTTTTTTGTAAACCAAATCTTTGGCCTAAAATATATACTTACACGCATTAATTATTAAATGCATATTAAATATTATTTTATTAAATGCATATTAATAAAATATTTTAGTTATTTAGTGATATTTTAATTGTTTTAAAATTTAAAATGCTTTGAAATTGTTTAAACATTTTTTTGAAATATAATTTATTTTCATTTTCTAAAATATTGTTTAATATTAGTGTTATATTTTGACTTTTAGAATTACATTTATTTTAAAATAGTACTGTCAAACGATTAATCGCATCCAAAATAAGAGTTTGTTTACATAATATACGTGTGTACTGTTTATTTATCATGTATATATAAATACACGCACATACAGTATATATTTTGAAATTATTTACATGTATATACATTTATATATTTATATTATATTATATATAAATATATTTAATATATAAACAACCTATTTTTCTTAAATATATACATGCATGTGTTTGTATTTATATATACATAATAAATATACACAGTACACACTCATATATTATGTAAACAAAAACTTTTATTTTGGATGAGATTGACAGCCCTATTTTAAAATAACTATTATTTACATATTTATTGGTTAGATTAATATCTCCATTAAAACAACTTAAAATTCACCAAAAATGGATGGACAATTATATATAAAGTTATTCTAGCATTATTATTATGAGTTATATTGGGTAGTTGATTTTACTAATTCTTTTATATAATAAATTATACTTAGTTTCCTTAGCCTCATATTAATTGAGAGACTTACATATTTTATTTAAATGTAACTATTTTATAATAAAATGTACACTTACAGCCTCATAAATCTCTCAATGTATATATATTTTCACTTAAAAATAATTATTTTATAATACAATGTATACTTACAGCCTCATATTAATCGAGAGATATAGTTTTACTTCAAAATAATAAAAACAAAAAATCAAAAATTTCAAATTGAAAATAAATAAATATGTATTGAATAATCTGACATTAAAAATATTGACTATATTAAAAAAAACAATATTAAAATTACATCATAATAATAAATATTACATTAGTAGCTCCAAAATATCATTGTCAATGTTGCTACAGTAAAAACACAGTAATGTGTAGCATGGTCAAATCTGATAATGCAGGAAGTTGTCATGTGATTTGACCTACAGGATTGTCCTCGTCATAGTCTTTCCACTCCTGATAGAGCTCTCTCATGTCCAGCAGCCGGTTCTCCATCTTCTCCACGGACCAGATCTGCTTGCCTTTGCTCTTCCTCCTCACCTCCACCGCCGGCTCGCTCAGAACCGTGTCCCGCTGCGCTCAGGAAACATCAGTCTTTATTATTAAAGCAGCATTTTCACCCGACCCACAATTCAACAGTCCTTTAATAGCACGTACTGCAATGAAGATGGAACGTTCAAATCATTTCCTTTCAATGGTTTGTTTAAATGAAACGCTTTCAATGTCTGAATTTCTATGAGTGTTCATGTTTATAGAAAATAAACTAACAGAACAATTTCTGAGCGATGAAATATGTTTTAGAAATAACGAGAATTTTTTTTTTAAAAGTTTGGGTTTGGTACGATTTTTAATTTTATTTTAAAGTCTCTTCTGCTCACCAAGGCTATATTTATTTGATTAAAATTACAGTAAAAACAGTAATATTGTGAAATATTATTACTATTTAAAATAGCCGTTTTCTGTTTGAATATATTATAAAATGTAATTTATTCCTGTGATCAAAGCTGAATTTTCAGCATCATTACTCCAGTCTTCGGTGTAGCATGATCTTCAGAAATCATTCTGATATGCTGATTTGCTGCTCAAGAAACATTTCAAATTTTTATTATTAGCATTATTTTTTATTTCTTAATATTATCGATGTTGAAAACAGTTGTGCTGATTCATATTTTTGTGGAAACTGATACATTTTTTTCAGGAATCTTTGATGAATAGAAAGTTCAAAAGAACAGAATAGAATCTTTTGTAACATTATAAAAGTCTTTTCTGACACTTTTGATCAATTTAATGCATCCTTGCTAAATAAAAACATGAATCTCTCTCCAAAAAATGTTTTTTGATTTTTGAAGAGTAGTGTATATGTATTAAAATATTATAAATAAATATTATAAATAAATATATATACAGTGGGTACGGAAAGTATTCAGACCCCCTTAAATTTTTCACTCTTTGTTATATTGCAGCCATTTGCTAAAATCATTTAAGTTAATTTTTTTTCCTCATTAATGTACACACAGCACCCCATATTGACAGAAAAACACAGAATTGTTGACATTTTTGCAGATTTATTAAAAAAGAAAAACTGAAATATCACATGGTCCTAAGTATTCAGACCCTTTGCTCAGTATTTAGTAGAAGCACCCTTTTGATCTAATACAGCCATGACCCTTTTGGGAAAGATGCAACAAGTTTTTCACAACTGGATTTGGGGATCCTCTGCCATTCCCTCTTGCAGATCCACTCCAGTTCTGTCAGGTTGGATGGTAAACATTGGTGGACAGCCATTTTTAGGTCTCTCCAGAGATGCGTAATTGGGTCTCAGCAAAGAGTCTGGCTGGGCCA